CCGACGGCGCCGCCCGCTCCCGCCGCAGCTGCCACCCGATGAGCGGGGAGTGCTCGTGCCTGCCGGGCTGGGCCGGCCTGCACTGCAACGAGAGCTGCCCGCAGGACACGCACGGGCCCGGCTGCCAGGAGCACTGTCTCTGTCTCCACGGCGGCACGTGCCAGCCCGACAGCGGCCTGTGCCGGTGCGCGCCCGGCTACACGGTGAGGCGCGGCGAGGACCCGGGGGGGCGAGGCGGAGGGGCCGGGCCGCCCCCTTACAGTCCCCCCGCCTTCAGGGCCCGCACTGCGCCAGCCTCTGCCCCCCCGACACCTATGGAGTCGACTGCAAGGCGCGCTGCTCCTGCGACCACGCCATCTCCTGCTCGCCGGTCGACGGCGCCTGCGTCTGCAAGGAGGGTAATGGGGCGGGGCCTCCGGGGGGGGGCGACTTGGGGGCGGGGCCAGGGGAGAGAAGGCGGGCCCAAGGGTGGGGGCGGGCCCCGGGCGGGGTGGAGGCTGCAGGGTGAGGGCGGAGCCCGCAGGCAGCACCTGGACGGTGGGAAAGTAGCCAGGCTACTTCCTTCCTGGAAAATCCACTTTGCTTTTCTTCAGCCACAAAAATCCTACGTGTGCTTAAAGGCCCAGGTCAGAAGGCACGTCTCGGGCGAGCATCCCTCGCCCTCAGTCATCTAGAACCACGCACTGGCAGGGCCAGGAAGGGCTTCTGAGATCCAGCCGGGTGGCCCGTTGGCAACCTTTAGGCTGCGTTCTGACACGGATGTGTTGTATTTGGCTGGCTCCGGGTGATGTGTAACCCACCTCCGGTCTCCAGTCCCCACTTCTCCCTGTAGTCTTACACATGATCTGTGCATTTAGTTACCTGGTTTGGGGCTTGTTCTAAGCGTTTGCTGCCAAGCCCCCCCATTCTGCAGGAGAGGCAGGTCCCAGAGGGGAGCCGTGCACCACTGGCAGCCCCCGAGCGTGTTACCGTGTACATGCTTGCCTCCTGCGTGGGCCACGAGCACCCGCACCCCCCCCCCCAGGTCGCGGCACAGAGCCTGGCACAGCTGATGCCGCGTGTGTGCTTGCTCGGGAGGGGGGCCGGATCCCCATGCCTCTCTGCGGGGCCCCTCTTCCAGGTTGGCAGCGTGGTAACTGCTCCGTGCCCTGCTCGCCCGGAACCTGGGGCTTTGGTTGCAATGCTAGCTGCCAGTGTGCCCACGAGGCAGCCTGCAGCCCCCAAACTGGAGCCTGTACCTGCACCCCTGGGTGGCACGGGGCCCACTGCCAGCTCCCCTGCCCGGTAAGTGCTCAACAGCCTGTCTGCCCAGGGGAGGGCGGGTCATAGCGACCCCCCCAGCTGACTGGCCTGCCCCGCCCTCCACTCCCTCTCCAAGAAGGGGCAGTTTGGTGAAGGCTGTGCCAGCCGCTGTGAGTGTGACCACTCTGACGGCTGCGACCCTGTTCGTGGACACTGCCGGTGCCAGGCCGGCTGGACGGGTGAGCATCGAGGTGTCCCGGTCCCAGGCCCCCCAGAGCTGGGGGATGGATTCCACAGGAGAAGTGTCCAGAAGAGCCCCTGTGGATGTGGGGGGGGTGCCGGCCAGGCTCACCCTACACTCTGTCCCACAGGGACCCGCTGCCACCTGCCCTGCCCCAACGGCTTCTGGGGAGCCAACTGTAGTAAGAGCTGTACCTGCAAGAATGGGGGCACCTGCGTCCCCGAGAACGGCAACTGCGTGTGCGCCCCCGGATTCCGAGGCCCCTCCTGCCAGAGATGTGAGGCTCCCTCTCCTTGCCCCCGCTCACCAGCAGGAGGGTGCAGGGCAATGTCAGATGCCAGAAGCCCCCCGCTGCCCCTCTTGGTGTCTTCTGCAGTGGGAAGGAGGGAGGGAGGGAGCTAGTGGGGTCCAGGGCTGAGCGAGGGGTGGTCCCTGCCCCCAGTCACCACCGGCCTCTTTCCCCCAGCCTGCCAGCCCGGCCGCTATGGCAAACGCTGTGTGCCCTGCAAGTGTGCCAACCACTCCTCCTGCCACCCCTCGGACGGGACCTGCTACTGTCTGGCCGGCTGGACAGGCCCCGATTGCTCCCAGCGTATGTGGCGGCTTGTGTGCGAGAGCGCATGCGTGCTGAGAGCTGGGCTGAGGACCAGAGGCTTCCGGGCCACCGCTCCCGCGTGTGAAAGCCTCTCGGCCCACTTTGATTCAGTAGTTTATATAAAGAATACGGACACTATATAATGACCCAGGTGCTCGGGCTGCAGCTCGAGACTTGCAGAAGACAAGTCCCCTGGCCCCTCTGCAGGGCGGCCTGGGAAGGGCATTATTGTCCGGGCATGGGGGGACCCCTAAGCTTGGTTTTGGACATGTTCTTTCTTTGCTTCTGCGGTTTTCAACTTATATTTATTTATATGTGGCTTCTTCCCCCCATAAATATATAAAGAACATCACGGAACAGATTAGTCCAAAAAACTAAGTACAGCAAGTGTTAGAAAGGAAAAATGAGAAGCGGAGACCCAGAAGAAGCTGGGTGCGGGCTCGGGGCGGCGGTCGAGGGGCGTGAGGGAGTGGAGGGTCCCCACAGAATTCGGTGCCGGCTACCGTTACAATTATTTGCTAATGTCAGGCATACAGAAATTATACCTCAAATAGTATGGACGCTTACTTCTGTCTTAGGTTAAAGAGAAAAAAAGAATCCAGAGCTAAGCAATACAGGGTAGTAATGGTGCCCTTTGCTTGTCTGGCCCTGGGCACCCCATCTTGATATGGCTATTAGATAACCAAGCGCAGGTTCAAGTGGGCAGCTAGGCATGTGATAAACATCTGTGAGTCATCCGTGGGCAGCTCTGGTTCAAAACCTTGGTGTCCCAGGGAGACCAAGGCTGAGCAGATTCAGTGAGGCTGGGGGCGGGGCATTCGTCCAGCGGGGGCCGGCCTTGCCCCGCCAGACAGCCATTTGTCCCCTGCAGCATGCCCTCTAGGACACTGGGGAGCCAACTGTGCCCAGCCCTGCCAGTGTCGCCATGGAGGCACTTGCCACCCCCAGGATGGGAGCTGTTTCTGCCCCCCAGGCTGGACGGGACACCTCTGCTTGGAAGGTACCCACAGAAGGGGCACTCATGCCCCGCCCCCCAGCCCAAGGAGGAGACTGCAGCTTTTGGCCCCTCGCCCCACCCGCCTCCTTGCCTCCCTCCCAGGCTGCTCTCCCGGGACGTTCGGAGCCAACTGCTCCCAGCCATGCCAATGCAGTCCTGGAGAGAGGTGCCACCCGGAGACTGGGGCCTGTGTGTGTCCCCCAGAGGACAGCGGTGCCCCCTGCAGGATTGGTGAGTTCTTCTCTAGGGCCCCGTTGTCGCCAGGGCACCAGGACCCAGACCCCTCATACTCCCGGCCTCTCTACTGGGGCCTCTCCTGTGCGTGCGCCCCTTGCGTAGCAGCAGAACCAAGACGTGCCGAGTGGCCACCCTGTCCCCCTAGGAAACCAGGAGCCCTTCACCATGATGCCTACCTCTCCGGTGACCTATAACTCGCTGGGGGCAGTGATTGGCATCGCAGTGCTGGGGTCCCTGGTGGTGGCCCTGCTGGCGCTGTTCATTGGCTACCGCCATTGGCAAAAAGGCAAGGAACATCAACACCTGACGGTGGCCTACAGCGGCGGGCGCCTGGACAGCTCCGAGTACGTCATGCCAGGTGAGCCGGCCTGGGGGTGGGGGGGGCCAAGGCTCCTGTGTCCCCACTCCGGACCTGGAAGATGGGAAGTGGGGCGCTGGAGGGGAGAGGCGAGGTCAGAGAGGCTGGTTACTGACCTGCTGGGACAGAGCAGCTCTCCTGGGCCGGGGCCTCTGTCTGACCGGCTAGGTCACCACGCGCCTGTGTCTGTCCATGCAGATGTCCCCCCAAGCTACAGTCACTACTACTCCAACCCCAGCTACCACACCCTGTCACAGTGCTCCCCGAACCCCCCACCCCCTAACAAGGTCAGTGCCGGCGGGGGGGCGCTGCAGAGGGGTGGGCACAGACTTGGTTCTCTGGGAGGCTCCATCCTGACATGCTACTCCCCCTGTCCCACGCCCCCTCCCCCCGTTAGGTTCCAGGCAGTCAGCTGTTTGCCAGCCTCCAGGTCCCCGAGCGGCCAGGGGGTGCGCATGGCCTGGATAACCACAGCACCCTGCCTGCTGACTGGAAGCACCGCCGGGAGCCCCCACCAGGGCCTCTGGACAGGGGTAGGAGCCTGGAGGCCGAGGCCTCGGGTGGGGGTGGCCGTGTGCAGCCCGGCATCCCGCTCCATCTGAGCGTGGGAGGCTCCAGTTCCAGAGGAGGTGGGAGCCTGACCGCGCACTGCCCCCCTCCTCTCCCTCCTGCTCAGGTAGCAGCCGCCTGGACCGAAGCTACAGCCCCAGCTGCAGCAGCCGCGGCGGCCCAGGCCCGTTCTCTAGCAAAGGCATGGGCAGAGCGGCGAGGGAGCGGGCTGAGCTGGGCGCTAGGAGCCAGGGCCCCACGGAGCCTGACTTCCTCCCTCTGTCCTTAGGGCCCATCTCTGAGGAGGGGCTGGGGGCCAGCCTGGCTTCCCTGAGCAGCGAAAACCCCTACGCCACCATCCGGGACCTGCCCAGCCTCCTAGGGAGCCCCCGGGAGAGCAGCTACGTGGAGATGAAAGGCCCTCCCTCCGGGTCCCCCCCCAGGCAGCCCGCTCAGCTCTGGGACAGCCAGAGGTGGCGCCGCCCCCAGCCACAGAGAGACAGTGGCGCCTACGAACAGCCCAGCCCTCTGACCTGTGGTGAGCCCCCCTCTCCGCTGGGGCAGGGCTGACGCTGGCCAGGACAGGGAGGGGGAAGGAAGGGTCAGAGGGAGAGAGAGCAGGGGTGGCATGGCGTGGCGGCAAGAGCATGGACTGTGGGCTCGGACTTGGCTCACTCCAGGCACGATGTTTGGGAAATCACCTTGCCTCTCAGAGCCCGTGAGCAGTGGGCCTACCTCACAGGGCTGAGGCTTTGAAATGGGGGTCGCACAGGACCTGACTTGTGGAGTTGGCACCTAGAAAAGAGGGGAACAAGGTTGGTGACAAGGTCAGGGTGGCCTCGGAGGAGGCCACTGGCAGTGGAGGAGGGACACACATCCATCTGGCTGTGGGCAGGAGAGGCTGCGGTCAGGAAGAGGAGGGAGGAGCCACCTCCCATCCTGTCCCTTCTCTGTCCCCAGACCGAGACTCTGTGGGCTCCCAGCTCCCACTGCCTCCGGGCCTGCCCCCTGGCCACTACGACTCACCCAAGAACAGCCACATCCCGGGACACTATGACTTGCCTCCAGTACGGCACCCCCCATCACCCCCGCTCCGGCGCCAGGACCGCTGAGGGGTCAGGACGGCATGTGGGCACCAGCATGCCTGTTCTTTGCTGCCCGAGGTTGGGGACAGAGCCTGCTGGACCCTGCCAGGAGCAGGGAGAGGACCGGCAGACCGCGAATATGAGCACGTTTACTAGAGGAAGTGAATGTGGAGGGGACAGGGCCTGGCTCCCAGCTTCCAGCGCGGGACACCGTGGTCAGCAGGAAGCCCGCGTTCCCTTTCGTCCATGTTCCAACCTGCTGCTCCCCAAGGCCCCAGGGCCCTTGTGCATAAACTGGTGGGATGAATGTTGCTAGAAAAGTCTGATTTCAGATTAATGTCAAAAATGTACATTGGGTTCCTTTTCTGTGTACTCCCAGGCTGGGCTCCGTGTGTGTGTGTGTGTGTGTGTGTGTGTGTGTGTGTGTGTGTAGCTTCAGAGGGCTTTGAGGCCCACAGCCTGTCCTGGGGCACTCACTGTGTAGTCGAGAGGCAGCCCAAACCAGTTAACTCTAGCAATAGCCTCACTGGCCTCCCTGCATCCACTTGGTACGTGCTCCAACCAACTGCTCAGAATACGAGGTGGTTACCTGACCTCCATCTGAAAGTCTTCCTGGGCGCCCCATGGCTCTGGGGCCAGAGTCAAAACTGCCAGAGGCCTTAGGGGCTCTGCTGGCCTGGCCTATCTCTTCAGCCTCAGCTGGAACTGTGTTCACTGTCACTCCGTTCCAGTCACCCTGGGCTCCAGGTCCTACCGGCCACACTTCTTCCTACCACAGGGACTTTGCACATCCGTCCTCTTCTCTTTCACTCACCTGTTCACTGCTGTTTGTCCTTCACATCCTCTCTCCATGGAAGTGCCCCTCTTGCTGGGCACGGATTACAGCTGTGTGCATTCACTGGATGCCTGGAGAAGGCCCTCAGGGTACCAGCTCTCTCTGGAATGTGTTGTTTCTTCATGTGATCGTTTGATTAATCTCTGCCTCCCTCACCAGACTGCGGGGTCCCCCAAGGCAGTTACCATGTATTGTACTCAACACTGGTTCCCCTTGGCACACAGTAGGCACTCAATAAACGTTCCCCAAAAGGCTGAGTGGCTGAGTGAGCTGAAAGTACCAGGGATTAAGTGTTAGTAGGTGCTCAGGTGCGGGCGAACGGCGCGCTCTGAGCTCATAGCCCGCGAAAGTCCCGCTTCCCGAGGAGCCGCCTGTCTACAGGGCAGCAGCACAAAGGCTCAAAGGCCGGCAGGTGCTGGGAGCCGCAGTGGGGGGAGCACAACCCTGCGGAGGCTGCCGCAGCTGGGGCGGGAAGGCAGGCGGGGGAGGGGCTACTCAGATGGGGGCCCGCCGGTGTGGAACCGACAGGGTCTACACCGCCCAAGGACACTGAATCCGGATCCACTACCACACCTCCCAGAGGCTAACTAGATGGGTCGAGAATAGAGACCCAGTGCCACGCCTTTTCCATCAGGAGCCCTCTCCTTACAGGACAGGAGGGAGAACCCCAGAAAGTGCATCTGCCCCCACCGACTCTCCCTGCCTAGATCCCTCGGACTGCCGCGATCCCTAACATGCTCCCGGCTTTCCAGAGCGCCGCTTCCCGGGTGGATTTGGAGGGCCCCTGGCCCCGCTCCTCCCTCGCGCTCGCTCCTTGGCTCCGCCCCCGGCCGTGGCTCTGCGGCGCTCCCAGGCCCCCCCGCCCCGCCCCGGCTTTGGCTCCGTCTCCGGGTTCCCCCACCCCGGCTGTGGCTCCGCCCCCGGCTGTGGTTCTGCGGCGCTCCCAGGTTCTCCCGCCCCCCGTCCCGCTGTGGCTCCGCCCTCGGCTGTGGCTCCGCCCCCGGCTGTGGTTCTGCGGCGCTCCCAGGTTCTCCCGCCCCCCGTCCCGCTGTGGCTCCGCCCTCGGCTGTGGCTCCGCCCCCGGGCTCGCAGCCCTCGGCTGTGGCTCTGCGGCGCCCCCGGGTGGCCCCGCGCGCTCTGCGGTTGCTCCCGCCGGCCAGCCCGCCGCGCACGGTTGTCGTGGAGAGGGACGCGGAGGCAACGCCACTGCGGGCGGGGCGGGCGGTGGCCGCGGAGTAGAGACCCCCGGTTCGGCCGTCGCCTGGGCGAGCCCCCACGGAGTCCTGTCTCGCCTCCTCGCCCGGTGAGCCGTCCCAGAGTCGCTGCGGACCGCGCCGGCATGTCGGGCGAGGCGAGTGCTCCCGGGGCCTCCCCCAGGGCCCCGCGTCCCGGGACCCAGAAGTCGTCCGGCGCAGTGACCAAGAAGGGGGATCGCGGGGCCAAGGAGAAGCCGGCCACCGTCCTGCAGCCGGTGGGCGAGGAGGAGCCCAAGAACCCTGGTAGGCGGGCGGCGGGGCTCCGCGTGCGCTCGGCTTTGCCAGGGCGGGTGGGCGCCGTCGTGCTGCCGGGCGCCGCACTGGTCGTGCGGGAAGACGCTCTGATGCGCGCGACAGCCGAGCGGGGGGAGAATCGTGGCATCTCCGGTGCTAAGGAGCGTTGTGTTCAGCAAGTGCACGTACCCAGGTCCTGGCACATGGCGGGGTGTTCTGCGTGCTAACCCTTATTAGCGGTGTGGCCTCGGGCACCCTCCTTCTCTGTAGTACGGGGATGTGAGGAGCGGTGGAGTGGACCGTGGGGAAGTGTTCTGTAAACTCCGATTCCTTTGTTCCTCCACAAGCATACGTTGTGCACCCGTGTGACCAGCTCTCTACTCCATCTCGGAATACAAATCCCAGTACTCCCAGCCCAGCTCCTGGAACTCAGCTTGGCCGATGTTTGAATCGAACTTGATCCTAGAGAACCCACACTGTGGTTTGGGATGGTGACAAATGCGATAAGATGTGATAAGATGTATGAGAGAAGAGGGCCCACGGAGTGATAGGAGGTCGCGGGGGAGTGGAGTGGAGGAGGGAACCCCCCAGGAGGTGACTTTGAGTTTCATTCACTCATTCATCCAACAATTACTTTTTGGATATGGAGAGAACAATATGCACACAGTCCTTTTATGTTTTCTGGGAAAAGAAAACCACGGCACGGTACAAGTAAGCCTGTGGCTCTGTATGTTGCAAGTGACAGAACCCCAACCCAAACAGATGATACATGAAGGGGAATTTACTGGAATTGGAATTTATTATTATTATTTTTTAAAGTAGGCTCCACACCCAACAAAGGGCTCAAACTCATGACCCTGAGATCGAGAGTCGCATGCTCTACCAACTGAGCCAGCCAGGAGCCCCTTTTGGAAGGCTTCTGGATTCAAATCCATCTGCTTTGAGAGGGACAGGGGCTTGCTGTCCCTGGACTCACGGGAAACAGACTTGGGGGGAGGCTCTGATTGTCAGACCTTGGACAGGTGCCAGTCCCCACACCCCGCTCTGTATGGACAATGGCGTGGAAGCGGAGAGAATGAGGCAGGGAGGTGGAGTATGAGGCATTTCAACAGGCCAGATGGGTAGTTGGAATTGAGCGGTGAGGGAGAATGGATTAGGCTTCCTAGAAAAATACTTCCCAAGTAGAAGTAATAAGAATTGGTGGTCTTGGCTGGGGTGGAAAGAGAAGGACATAGCAAGAAGAATTCCCAGGTTCCAGGAGGCGGGCTGAGGTGCCATTCAACGCAGACAGGAAAGCCTGGAGGAAGGGCCTGTGAGAGAAGACCTCCGAGGGCGTATGTCGGCTGGACAGCTGGACACTTGGGTCTGGAGCCCTCAAGAGAGGGCAGGGCTGGAGATGTCACTTTGGGAGCTGCTGATATCCGGGTGTATTTAAGGCCTGGGAAGGAAAGAGATCCCGTGGGGCAGGAGGGAGTGTAACCAGAGGGCGCAGAGCACTCAGGACCCAGCCTAGAGCTATTAGGGGAGGCGCAGCAGGCAGCGAAGTCCAGTCGGCCGGCCGACAGATGGGAGAGAATGGGGGTGACCACTGCCCGGGACGCTGGGCAGGGCAGCACGGGGGTCAGGGCGGCGCTGGGTGCAGCGCGGCAGGTGCAGGGCTCAGAGCGTGATGGCGGCAGTAGGAAGGTTTTAGGAAGGTTTACGGGTTTAGAGGAAATCCCATCTGCTGGCTTCTGTCTCTCAAGAAGTGCAAAGGCAAGGTCAGTAGTGAGGGTGGGGAGGAACTGTGCGAGGCGGGGAGCAGGAGCAAGGCCCTTCCGGAGCGGCGCGGTCCCCCAGGTAACCGCTCGCTAAAGCGCAGACGCGGAGCGAGTCGGGCGGGCGGCGAGGTTCAGGCAGGCAGCGCGCTTCTGGAGCCCCGGCGGCCGTCGGGGTGCTGGCCGGGGGCTCTGGCATCGCCGTGAGCTTGTTAGAAATGCAACTCCCCGGACTGCACCGGGTCGGTGGAATCAGGGTCCCTGCGGGGCGGGGCGGGGGGGGACTGACTGGGGAGGGCAGGAAACTGACTGGTTCTCCTGGTTGTTCAAGTTTGAGAAGGTCTGTTGTGGAGAAAGGTGGCGTGGGTGAAGCGGGAAGGGTTGAGGGGCTCCCGCAGCAGGGGGAGCAGCGCCTGCGGGCACAGCGCAGCTGTGCGACGGGGTTACGCCGGGGCCTGTCCAGGGAGCTAACATGTCCTGTGTGTCCCGCTCCGCCTGATGGCTGGGCCCACGAGGAACGTACCTCTCGCTCCTTTGCCACGAGAACCCTCCAGCCTCTCTTGTCTTGTCCCCACGAACGCCGAGCCCCTGTGCTTCCAGGTCATCTCCTGCCTCCGGGCAGGCTCCCTGCTGCCCCTGGGTCAGCCTGCAGCCCCGGCGGCCGGGCGGGAGTGACGGTGCTGTGGGGGCTCCAGGCTGCCCGGCCCTTGGAAGAGCAGGCTGGCGCCAGGCCAGCCCTTCTGCCTGCAGATCCCCCCACGGGCCGGGGACACGCGTCCCCGTCTCCAGGAGCCACTCCTTCCTGGGACGCCCCTGGGGAAGCAGAACGAGCAGGGGCCTTCGGGGACTCACTCAGGTGTGCACCTCCGTCGGGATGGGATGTGGCGGGCGCCTGACTGAATTAGTGGAACTCTTGAATGAAGTGATATTTCTAAAGCATTTAGAACAGTGTGGGGCAGGAGTAAGTGCTATATACCGGTTTGCTGAGTAAATAAAAGCCGGAGGCTCTGCGGGAGCTCGGTGTCCAGGTAGGGTGAGGGGGGGAGGAGGGCTGGGACTGGAGAGGTGCTCCTGGGTTCCTGCCTTTGCTCACAGCAGGCCTGGGCTTCTCCCCCCGCCCCCGCCCCGTGACCCCGGGCCATCCCAGCGAACCAGGGCCACGGCAGGAGGCTGGGCGGGGGACACTGTGGGAGGTGCAGGCCCCCGGGGGGCCAGCCGCGGAGGGGAAGCGGCCTTGACCGGTGGCTGGCTGGAGGCGCCCGCACAGAGGTTAGGCGCCTTGGGTTGTGTGCATCCTGCGCCCTCTGGCCCCCCTTTCTTCGGGGTCTGGATTTCCCGCTGTTTGCTCTCAAGTGTTCTCAGCTGCGGGTCTTTACAACGCATTTTACGTTTAAAAAATGGCTGTAAGGACGTGCTCCTTGGAGGAGGGGTCCCAAGCCCCCCGCGGGTGAGCCCGGGGACGCGGGACCCCGCGGGCGCCCGCTGCTCTCTGCTGCCCCCCAGTGGCGGCCGCGGGCACAGCCGCCGTACCCTCCCGCCGCCCCGCAGAGGAGTACCAGTGCACCGGGGTCCTCGAGACGGATTTCGCGGAGCTCTGCACGCGCTCCGGCTACACCGACTTCCCCAAAGTTGTCCCCCGGCCTCGCCCGCACCCGGCCTTCGTCCCCTCCGCCTCGATGTCGGAAAAAACCACCTTAGGTGAGTGCCAGAGGAGCCCCGGGGGTGCCTGCCAGGGTCGCCTGCCAGGGTCGCCTGGTGCTACCCAGCCTCCCATCGCAAGGCAGGCCGAAAGGCTGGGGTACACGGCAGTGTGTGTGGCCGCGAGGGGAGGGTTCAAAGTCGGGGGGGTGGAGGTGGGTGAGTCTCCCGCCTTCCTTCCCAAACCCCAGCCCACCCCGGCCTGGCCCAAGAAGCAGCACCCCCAGGCTGGGGCCGCCCCCCCACAGTGAGCGGTACTCCCCTGCGGCTGCCCCCAGGCGGGTGGCTCTGCTTCCTCCCTCCTCACCC